TATTGGGTCTATTGTATTTGGTGTGGCTCCTGATGCTTTGTCACTTGGAAGATTTCTGACTGTTCCTTAGAGTTTACTATTTTTGGTAACATCGCCTGGGATGATTTTATATCGTCCTGGACAATCGGTTCAAAAGAAGAAACCCCAATTAGGGCATCCTTACTAAGGCAGCCATCATTAAAAAACATCATCCTAAATAATTTTGTATCGGCCAGGACGACAGGCTCAAAACAGAAAGAATCTACCGCCAGATCTATTTAGGAATTACATATTTTTGGACATCATCCAGGGGATCGTCCTTGCCTATCAAATATCATCCAAGACGATCCAGGACAATTTTTTCCTAAATTAATCTGGCATTTAAAGATAGCAATTATGACTTGATTGGACGATCAAATCATCCTAAACGATCGCAGGATTGTCTGGGCCGATGCGCTGGACGATTGGATATCGGACAGCTCTTTTTTAGGGTGATGTTTAGGACAATATTCCATAATTTGTACTAATCGTCCATGATGATATATTATTGTCCTGGATGATATGAACAAATTTCTTCTGATCGTCTCAAATCATCCCGGCTGATTGGGCTTAAATTGCACTGATCGTACATGATGATATTTATATAGTCCTGGACGATAATGTCGGCAAGTTGCAATTAATGAGCTCGTTTTGAGCTCTTCTATTTATGCTTTGACAAGGCACTTTGTAAGTGTCTTTGGCAGCCATTGTAGCTTCGTTCTTTTGGGGGTAACTTGAAGAGAGAGCTTGAAAGGGAGTGAGGAACGGGTGAAGTCTGAGAGAGAGAGAAGATCCTGTGAGGGGGGACTCAAGGGAGTGTGGAGGGGGATTCCACACGGTTGCTCCGGCAGGATTACACCTTAATACCATCGGATTCAAGGCTTGTCTTGAGGGAAGTTCACCAAAGAAGAAGATCTCTTTGGTGTCAAAGGACCCGGCGACTCCGCCGCACCGGGGAAGGTGGAAGTGATTTGTAAGGGCTTCTCCGCCTAGCTATGGGGGCTAAAGGAGAGACACTTAGTTTAGTGCAATACTTAGAGGGTGCCTCCAAGGAGTGGACGTAGGTAAATGTTTGACCGAACCACTATAAATCTGGTGTGTTCTTTCCTTTATTACTTTCGCATTTAATTTCAGCATTTGATTTTCTTTGTGGTGATATTGGTTTTGATTTATGTTTTGATTGAAAGATATTTTTTACCAATTCACTTCTCTCTATTAATTAGTTTTTGGCCAGTTCATAGGGGTGTTTTGATTGAAAGATATTTTTTACCAATTCACTTCTCTCTCTTAATTAGTTTTGGGCCAGTTCATAGGGCCTAACATCCCTAACGAACTTTCATTTATGTATTAGAATGCTTGTGGCTAAAGCTTTCACATATACCAATTTTTGAATATACTCATATTTTTGCCTTTTTAATTTTTTCATTTGATTTTATTTGTCATATTTTTCACTTTTTCATATTTGTGGACTATCCATTCAATGATTTTGAATATCAATATCTAAATTACTTGTTGGGTCATTGTTTCTATGATATATACCTGGTAAAATCCATAAGACTCCACTAACGAAACAACATTTTTATTTCAATATTGGGAATATTTTCTCCATTGAGGATTACTACAAATTCCAAATAAACAATGCAGGTAAGCAGCATGGCAGATAATTTCCGTTCATTTTGGAACAATTATCACTAAAAGTTTTATTTTTATCAAATATTACTCTTGATATAATTTTGTTATGTGTGTAATTTTTATGGCTTATTATTAGCTTCACTTCGAGTGATATTAAATCTCTAGTTGGGACAACTTTTTTACTATTTTTTAATGTAATTTTTTAGTGCAAAATTTTTTTTAACTAGAAAATTTTGAACTTAGAAATTATTTTAAGAAAACGATAAAAAAGCTGTCCCAAATAAAGCTTGAGTTTTTTTTATTATATTTTATTTTACTTTTTTATTTTTTAATCAATTAATTTCTCAAAGAATTGAGACTTCATTTGGGATGACTTTTTTTACTACTTTCTATAATAATTTTTAAGTTACAATAAGTTTTTTAAATGAAAAATTTTATACTAAAAAACTGTTATATAAAGTTTAAAAAAAAAAGTCATCCGAACGAAGCCTGAGTTTAGATGTTGAGTTGAGTTCAAATAAATTGGTCGAAATTTGAAAGTAAAGGTTTTCAGAATTTAGCAGGACTAGAGTCTGAGATAAAACGATAGATTTCAAATCAAAATAAAAAATAAAAAATAAATACATGTACATTTTGGTGAAGCCAATTTCGGTGGTGGTACTCTTTATTGCTGTTTCGAAATTGGGAAGCTGTTCTCGCAATAGTAGACTTATGCCGAGTTTCCTCAGTGGATTTTATTTTTATTTTTTATTATATTATGAGGCAACAAGAACAACAACATATTATCCCACTATGTGGGTTGGCTATATGAATCATTTTCTTCATTATATTCTACTATGAATTAAATTCTCTTTTAAATTAAATAAAAAATCATTTTTATACTTTTAACCAAATATTTTAAGGTCTACTTTTCTTAACATAAATTTGATCTAATACATCAGCTCTCCTAATAGGGTCATCGAAAAGCCAACATTTTATATTTTCAAATCATTCAAGGCAACTCTCTTTAATCTTAACAGCCACGGAAGGTACTCCATCTTTTTCAAATATATACTCATTTTGCATTCAAGTGTAATGGCATTGATACTCCTTAGCATATATACTCATCTCTGCAACACTTGACTTAATTTTATTATTCTCTTTTAATGGCCAACATTCTATCCTAAAAAACAAGCAAGACTCATCATCATCTTATAAAATTTTATAAACACTACCGCTATGAGGTCCAAAGTCTAGCAAGAAAAAAAATGGAATGTTATATTAGGTAATCGATAGTTACTATAAAACTCATCGAACAATTATAACTTGAATCTTTTTTTCATTATATTATAATAGCCAAAATAAAATAATCGGATCTATTGTGTATTTATTTTTATTTATCATTACATTAATTTAATATTTATTATTGATATATCATTAAAAAAATTATCTTGATCGATCATGAATCTCAAGGAAAATTCAAATTGAAAAATTCCAATATTAAATCTGGAGCTATCCGAACTCGGATTTATGCGAACTTATAGTCGAATCTAACATCTCAAGGAGAAGAACCCAACAACACCAAATTCGATCCAATCCGAGTTCAAATTGGTCCAAATTGAGGGCCTAAAGCACATTTGGAAGGTTCAAAGCATAAATTGAATGACCAAATGATATTCAAATGTGACATGCTTATAATAGAATTGAGTGGCTCGACGAAACGAATCCAACAAGCCCAAGATTGCCGAATTCTAGCATCATTAAGATACTAAAATGCTCGTCTATAATTGGGGGAATTGATATCGGTCGTCCATCAAAAATACTCCCAACATGCCCCTGATAACTCTCAGAAAAACTAAAAATAGACCACTCATTCTTCATTGAAGAATGAGAGGAACCAAGAGAAAGAATAGAAAATAGGAAGAGAAATCTGGGAGCTCTTTTGTCACCAGACTCCTCCTTGATCATTGTTTGGCCACCGACTATCGTCGGACTTTAGCCCGGCCGTTGACCTTCCCCGGACTTTCACCTAGCCATCAATTGTTATCAGACTTCTGCTCGATAACCGTTGGACTTCCACTCTACCACCATCAAACTTTTGCCCAACCGTCATCATTCACATGAAGATCAACCCATTTCCTAAATTATTGTAATCTGACCGCCTCAAGTTTATGGACAATCTTTGCATTTTATTCAATCAATTGAAGAATCGTTTCAACTTGGCATTGTGGCCTAGTATTTTTTTTTTTTCCTTTTTTAGGATTTTCCACATAAAATCCTAATTTTTTTAGAGTTCTCTAACTATTTGTTAGATATCTGTGCAACATTAGAACGAAAGATTCTTTTATTTTACCGTCATGAATATTCTAGCACACAACACTTATATTTAAATAACTAAAAATAATATCATAATCTCTATAATTAATTTCATGCTATTTGTTTACAATTTTATAAAAATTAAAACTGACCACTTCCCAGATTCTCGTCAGTGATACCCAGCCCCCAACTCCATACCGAACAAAAAAATCTCAATTTCTGAACCGAATTCTTATTAGAACATTACCTTAAAAAGGCTACATGAACGGCAGAAGTTTTAAAATAAACAATTTTATAGATAAATGTAAATTTATTTTAATCATCCTGGTAGATAAGCACAAACATAAGGTGAAGGATTTGTTACAAATCAGTTATTATGAAATTTTAATTTATATCTTTAACTCAGAGTGTTTTAAAATAAAATCAATTATAAAATTTTACAATTTATGACATCATATTCAAATATTAATATCAATATAAATTCAAACGCTTTTAAATACATTAAATGCAACTTAAAAATAAAAGGCTAAGAAATAAAAAAATATAAGATCTTTAAAATGTAAAATTTCATTTGGGATAATTTTCTTACTGTTTCTTAAAATAACTTTTTAATATAAAAATTAAAAACAATAAAAAAAATCATCCCAAATGTAACATTAGATTATGTTTGAGATAATTTTCTTTCTTCTTAAAATAACTTTTTAATATATAAATTAATTTTTTAATAATTTTTTTTTTTAATAATCAGTAAAAAATTCATCCCAAATGAATCCTTAAGCTCCGTTTAAAATAAATTTCAAAACAATTTTCTACTATAAAAATTTTTAAAAGTAATAAAAAATAATGATAAAAATTTTCTCAAATAAAATCTTATATTACTATGTTTATACCCTAACAAAGCATTCTTAACAGAAACTAATATTAGTGCCGATTCGAGCATATATTGCAAATTCAGCTGAGATCGCAGAACTATATACTTACAAACAAAGAACTTACTCTGAAGCTCTGCAGAATGCCTTTGGCTCTACCATTTCAATCCAATTTACATCCAAGACTTCCTCGAGCAAACTTTTTTTTTGTTAAACATTCATTCACTACTTCGAATAAAGATAATTTGGTTCTGCATTTTCTTCGTTGAATAAATGCAATACAAGCAAAGATAAATACAATTGCTTTAACAGACTCGAGAAAATAGTGAGGAAAGAAACAATAATCCTGTCATGATTTCGTTTTGCATCTTCTTCGTAGGCAGCGTTCAATTGTTCTCGTCAGCTCGACTACGACGATGCTGATGTTATCTTTGCTTCCTCGAGCAATGGCAAGCTCAGCCAGGAGAGCAGCCGCCTCGGCCGCCGAACGACCATTTACGGCCCCTGGAAACATCTTGGCCGCTTGTCCTGAAAGGCATTGCCTTACAATCCTGCAAGCTACTTCATTTGAGATCGCATCCCATAATCCATCACTTGCCAGTATAAGGAATTCATCCTTATCGCTCCGCTCGGTTACTGTGATCTCTGGTTCACAAGTCACGTAGGGTTTCAGGAAGAAGTCCCCTGGAACAATTTCATGAAACTTAACATGAGCTGTAGAGATTTCATTTCATTTCGTATATTGTACTTTCCTTCAATTCAGAAAATCCATAATGTTGTATAATCAGGGGAAATTATTAGGCCAGCGGATTAATGTTCTGCTTCATATTAATGTGTTAATGTCGAATATGATATCACTAGAACCCATCTGAATTGTGATTAAGATTGAACTCATTGGGATGCTCCTCTGTAGTACAAGAGCCTTATGAAATTTTGAGATTTAAAACTCTCATTAAGCATACATTATTCACCATTGAAAGCTTTTAATAAAATGTAAAATAGTGCTTTCATCAATCTAATTATTCTTCTTATCCAATATGTTGAAGGCAATTCTATTAATCAGGCATACAACTCTCTAACATGTCTACCAAAGAGCTACGAGTCTTCTTGACTTAATGGATATCTGCCATCTCCATGAAAAATAGCTATAAGCCTCAATGCATGGTTTGATATAGTTCTGAAAAAATTCATGTGTAAGACAAACCATAAAAATGAGAATAATAAATTTAAAAAAAAAACTTTTTTGCCCAACCCAACAAATGGTCGCTAGCAAAACTCCTACTTGCTAGTCAACTATAGTTGGCCGCCTAGGGTGACATCTAAATGTTGAACGTAGCTTTGATGAATTGATTTTAACCATTGTTGGCATCCAATAGTGACCTTCAACCAACTCTACAAGGCCTCAATCTTTGGACTCCTTCAAAGTTATTAATTACCTTTCTTTATATTTAATGACAATCTTGCACCAACCAAAGGCCGATCTTAATCACCAGCTATAGTCCTCGCTTACACGTGAAGCTTGTTATTAATCATAGAGATGATTGTTTATAGCTATATATAAGCCTCCTTTATAAACATTATGATAGGTATGAAATAAGTTCGATGGGATTTTCATGGCTTGAGTTTAGCAATAAAAGGTTAACAAGTTTTTGCTAATTTATTCAAGCCATAAACAAATTTTTAAACATTGAAATATCCAAGATTTTTAGAGAATTCATTTTACTTTTAAAATGAAGAAATGTCATATGAATTTTATTCAGTATTAGAACGCATGAAGACTCAAAGGTTGATTTATAGATAGCTATTAAACTAACCATAAAATATTGATACAAGTGTTGGCCAACCAGAAAAACACTTGCCACCAAATGTTATAGAAGTAGAATGCTAAGATGAATATTTTGAAAAACTCAAAATAATAAAATAAGAAATGATATATTAGAGAGTAAGAACAAAGATATTAATGGCAATAGAAAGGAAAAAACAAAGATGATGATTTTGGGTATGGAGGATAAAAAAGGCATCAATAAAGATGATAGATAGAATTAATGTGAAAAAACTGGAAATATTAAAGTATAAATCAAAGATAGCATGATTATAAATTGAACATAAAGAGTTAAACTTTATGTAACAGATAATTGCGGAACAGGATGGTGACCTTTGCAAACCCCAAAAGCCCTCTGCACCCGTCATCTTATGGTTGTTTGTAATAATGGTAATTTCACTCATAAATTTTCTTGTTCTTATATAAAAAATATAAAAATTTAAAAACTCTTCCACCAAGTTTAGGATAAACCATTTCTCCTCACTTTAAATTCTAGTTCTTATACTTTTTGTAGGAATGAATAAAGTAACGAACTATGAAATTAACCCTAAATAGTTGGAATAAGAATATTAATCATGATGATGATGATTATAATGATGATCTTACAAAAAATTTTCAAACTAAATGAACATATGAAAGCTAGGTCCCATTAGATGCTTTGTACAAACTTACAATAGTTAACTTGGGTAATAGTTTACTCTACCTTGTAATATGGAAGAAGACAAATTAAAAAATGGAAAATTTCTTGAATATGGTCTCATTTAATAGGATCATAAATATATAAAAAGCTTTTTGAAATTGAGCTAAGACATAATATAGGAAGCAAAAGTACAAATCAAACCAAGTAAATGCGCCGTTAATTCTATGCATCTTAATTTGTTTCATTGTTTACAAAATGCACCATTAATTCTATGCATCTTAATTTGTTTCATTGTTTACAAAAGGCTGAATAGACTACTATTTCAAGCTATTAAAAAAGTGCAATCCATACCTATAGACCTTGAAGTAGAAAGCACTCCAAGGACGCGATATCCATCCCAATTTATAATCCTTCCTCCAGCTGCTTCCACTCTTTTCATCTCATCAGGTCTGTTTGGCTGTGGGGTAAGAAGATTGCTATAAGGAAATATCTCATGAAAAGGAAAAAAATCCAAAAAAGCAATTCAAAAATCTCTGCAACATAAACAATTTCTAAACTTGTGTCAAGTGAGAGTTGAAATTTCAGATAATCCAAGACACCATATCAAACATCAAATTAGATGTCTCATTTTTCTTTCTAGATTTTAAAAAATTTGGTCAAGTCTTCAACACCTTTTGGCATATCAAGATATCATTAAAGTGTGTGAACTCTCATATGTTAGTTGTAGAGTCAAAATTCTCTAACCATTTTGGATAAGATTTAATTTGGATTTTTTGAAGTCGTTCTTGTTAATCAAACTCAAATTTCATTCATATTTAATTTTTCAAAATTAGTGGCCACAAACTTAAGATCCATTCACATTTAACTCTGTACATCTATCACAACATGTTGCTCTATAAAAGGGGAAAAAATCAATGACAGCATGGAATTTGCAAAAGAAGTAACAAAGAAAGAAAGAAAAGAGTAAAAATTCAAGAAAGAAAGAGATTCTTTTTCGGTGTTTGTAGGAGGTCTTAAAGTTCTTCAAGTAGGAATAAGTGTTGTTATTTTCAATTTTAACAAGTAAAAATAAAACCTATTTGTTATAGAAGAAAGTAGCTCTCATTTGGACTCCTGCAATAAATACGTTACTACAACCATATTAGCGTCGCCTTCTATATTTCAAGTCGTCATCTTCATAACAAGTGATTGCATTCTCTCAGCTAGACAAATGATATATATGTCCTTATCTCTAACTTCATATGAAGTGTGATCTTTTCATGCACTTTTTTTAAAGCTTAGTGAATAATTATATTCTTGTGCAACTATGGATATAGTTAGATCTCACTAAACTAAGTAAACTTCTTTCTTGTATTGATGATATATGTATTCTCTCATTTTCATTTTCATTTTGCCTGAAATTTTTATTTCTATTTCAACAATTAGCATCAAAGTAAGATTATGAGTATAATATCCATGAAGCTTGAAATTATGATGTTCGATGCTTAAAGAACTTTAGACTCTAGATAACCAAGATGTGATGTGCCTAATCCAACGAGCATCAGGTAAAGCACCGCCCATGGGATATTTAAAAATAGAGATGGATGAGAAGACTCTCTTAATGATTTAGCTATGTTTCACAAATAAGGTATTGACATATATTTTAAAGTAAACAACTATAAGAGATTTGTGGATCAGTGTAGAGTCATCATACATGACTAATAGTCTCTCCAATTATAAAAAAATAAAGACAACGTTTATTATGTATGTACGAAGGTATCCTAATCAAATTACATTTGAATTAACAAGTTCGATTCAATTTTGCAAGATTTTAAAATATTAATACAATTGATAATAAGAGCATCAAATATTTTTATTACTTTTTTTATCTCCTTTTTATAAATACTTCCAAGACATCATGTTGTATGATCATAAGCTAATACACTTAAACAATGTCAAGAATTCACTTCTTTCAAGATGATTTTTAAGCTCGAGGGAGGCAATAAACAAACTAAAAGTTTCTTGAAAGTTAAAGGGAGATTGTATGGGCAAGAGTCATCTTCTAATCATGATATGAGTAAATCATAGAATAAATTTAAGAATATGATCACTTATTTCTACTATAATAAGAAATGACACATAAAGACAAATTATTTTGTTATAAAAAGAGGAACAAGAAAAAGATGACAATCAAAAGAGAATAAATCATCTCATGCAAGTATTTTTGCAAATTTATTTGTTATGATATCAGTGATGCTCTTATAGTAATTGAAAATAATAAGTGTAAAGAACAATAGATTTTAAATTATTCTAAAAATGTGTCTGATTTAGAAAAATTATTCACATAAGAACTGAGTTTTGATGGTTGTATTTACTTAAAAATGGAGTTATGCGTAAGACTAACAGTTCTAATATTATGAAATTAATGACTCATGTAGATATACTTGTATTGTCAGTTGGAGTCAAGTATAAGTCTGATTTAAAGAAAAATCTAATATCTCTAAATGCCATACATATCACAAAATATAAATTTTCTTATGATATTGTGGCTTTTAAGATCTATAAGAATGCGTTGATTGTCTTGAAGTTGAATAGATAGCAGACTCTATGTATTGCAAAGTGCAATATCATATTCTAATTTGTTATATTCAACTATTATACTGATAGCTCAGTGAAACAAAAATGATGCCAAGTATATGATGTTAAACGACAGAAAAAGTAAAAATTATTGTCAAATCTATTATTAATAATTCTAGAAGAGCAAAGTAAAATAAAATTTCAAAAAAGTGGGATATTTCATTAAACAGATGATCATTACAAAGCATACAAAAATTTATAAACAATTAGCAATAAAATAAAAAATAATGTAGGGAAAAAAAAACTATAAGGCTTATCACAGATGGATAGAGGCACTAAAAAGTCTCAATTAATCTCCTTAATAAATGAAAACATAAAAGTGTTCAGACATGACCACTAAACAAGAAAAATAAATATTCAAATTGGCCAAGTGAAAGATTATATATTGCGTGTGTAACTTAAATTCTCTCAACCATTTTGGATAGATTGAGTTTTGATTTTCAAGATTTAATTTTAATTTTCAAAATTAGCGGCTACAAAGTTTATGATCTATTCATGCTTAATTTTCAAAGATCGGTGATAGTCAAACTTAACACAATGTATTAAAGGATTCATGTCATGATTGTTAAGCAAATTTTATATTGGCTATCAATTAGCGAACACAACCCTTCAATTTTCTCATCCAGAGCTTGAGAACTGTCAACGAGAGTGTTGTTGTTATTAGATTTAAATAAGAATTTGACTCTTAATACAATACAATGAAGAAAACTGATTCATGTAGTTGACCCCCCTAGTGGGATAAAGGCTTGTTGTTGGTGGTGGTGGTGTGTGGTGACAATCAAACTTAAGATCCATTCACAATTAACCATTCACATATTGCTCCATAAAGAAAGGAAGAAACCAAATTTTGAATGATGTCCACAGCAAGAAGAAACAAAGAAATGATGGGAGAGGAAGTGAGATAAGAGGGGATTATAATCCGATCGAATAAAAGGAGTTTTTTTTGGGTGTCTAGTGGGAAGGTCATTGGATTCTTCAAGAGAAGCGCTATAACTTTTGATTCTAGGAAGAGGAAAACTCTTGTTTGCACCAAGAAATAACTCTAATTTAGATTTCTGTACGTAATAGGGAAGAAGGAAAATAACTAATTCAACAATAGGAACTATTCCTCTACATTCATCCTCATCTTCGAAGCAGATGGTTGACTTCTCTCTTACTATCCCACTAAAAAAAAGAGAACCTTAATAGTGCAAGAAACACCTTCCAATATTCCACTACGTTCTCCCAAACACAAAAATATAATAATCATAATAACAATATTATCCCTAATAATAATAATAATAATCGTGCATCAAACTCCTGTACCAATACATGATCTATAAAGAAGTTGATGACTTATGGAAGCATCATAAAGTATTCGAAATGAGCTCTACAGTACGAAGATAACTGTCGACGATCCGCACCATAGAAAAGAGTTTCCTAGAACAACATCAATGATCATAAACGATTCTATGAAGAAGAAATATGGGCAAATTTTGAAAACCAAATATACTACAGCACATGCTTGCTAGAAAACATATCAAACCTTGTGATCATCCGAAAGTGCCACCGCAACACCGCCCCTCGATAGCACCGCTCTTGAATCCCCACAGTTCGCCACCACAATCCGCCGCCTCCCGACCACCGCTACCACGGCAGTAGACCCCACCGTCCCCTTCTTCTCCTCCGCCACCTCCCCATCAACTCTTTCAAAGCTCGCCGCCATTGCCCTCCTCCATTTCTCCTCATCCCCCTCCCCCTTCTCCCCTTTATCAGCCTCCTCCGCCACCACAAAATGCATTTTCTCCTTGCACACTTCAGCAACAATAGCACCGCCGTGCCCGTCGTACACCGCATAGAAATCATATTCCCCGGCGCCAAAGAACCCCGGCTCCACGGACACGGCGTCCTCCATCTCCCTCCGCCGTCCAATCACCGACACCCACCCATGCGAGACGCAAGGGGGATTCGTCTCCTCTGACTCGGAGGACGATGGTGAGCTCGATGTTGGTGAAGACGAAGTTGCCGACGGCGAAGTCGAAGTCGAGGTGTTCTCCTCCGCAGAACATATCCTCTTCGCCAGTTCTTCGCCAGCAGCGGCAGTCTTCAGCCTCCGTGGATGCAGACGCCGTAGCCTCGCCGATTGTGGCGTTTTGCAGATCGGCCCCTCTTCCTCCATCTTCCTTCCACCTTCGCAGTCGCTCAGACCAGCCGTCGCGCGAAGCGGAATTATTAATAGAGAGAAAGTAGATAAATGCCAGCCGTTGGATTGCGTGCTACCGACGGATGTCGTCCACCTGTGCCGTAGGGCGAATGGACTATTACGACGGGGATTTTCGCATGAAGAGACGTGGACGCTGTGGGCGCCAGTTAGCTGAAATTGTTGTTAAGATCTTACCAAATAAAATTCTTCTAAATTAAATTTGTGCTTAGACTTGTAATATTAAAAATGTAAATGATGTAGACGGTTGAGATTGGTTAAAAAAACACGTGGCGGAATTGAGGGCGGTGGGGAATTAAGAATATGGGCCTGTGGAAATTTGATTTGAACGCGATGGTGGCGTCCGTGAGGGGAAGATGTGGAGGTTAGATTACCGTCCATCTTGGAAATGTGGTCTTAAAGGGAAACACGTGTATTATCGTACGGTGTTAGGTTGTGTTCAACGTTGGAGTCGGTTGGGAGGAAGTTGCCGCAGGTCGGAAATTAGTCCCCCGTTACGTATAGATAAGTCGCGGGCTGTGATGTATCGCTCGGATATATATGAATGATACGAATATTAATATATATTTATTAAAAATAATATATATGAAGATATATTAAATATGATATTATAATATTATATTTTAAATTAGAAAAAAATATTTTCCGACAAAGTGTAACCTGTCCCTGTCTTTCATGATTACACGTAGCACGTTGGAGCCTCGAAGGTGCTGCATTTTAGTAAGTCTAATTACGGACCGTCAATGTAATTCGAAAAGGAATTATTTAAACAAACGCAAGTTACTCATCGGTCAAGTCGACTTAGGACTACGTAATTGGATTAGGGAGGGAAGAGAATATGGATTAGAATATTATTAAATCTTAATTTAAATTTTTAATATAAACACAATAGTTGATTAATTAATTAAAATTTTTATTGTATTTGTCTTAAATTTATTCATTTTTTTGGACAATTTTTTAAACTAAGTACCATTTAAATTTTAATTAAGCGATTAACTAACGAAAAAAATAAATTTTAAACTCGTCAAAGTCGCCCGTTCAACGGGCTACTTACCTCTTTAGGATAAGTCGTCCGTTTAATGGGCGACTTAGCTCTTTTCTTTAACCCCCCCCCGCGGGGACCCCTTTCTTGCCCTAAATATGTGTTGCTTTCGACGAAGAAGGATTCGGAGAGCTCGGCATATCCATGAGGTAAGGGTGTTTTAATTTTTTTTTTTTTGATGTTTTTGTGTTAAATTTCTTTACTTTATGAGTTTTTTTTTTCATTTAAATTACTTATGTTGGATGTTTAGGGTTATTTTAGTGATTAGATTTAGGATTTGTGTGTGCTATGTAGTATTTTTTTGTGAAAGCATGAGGAAAACTTATTTTTTGCTAGGATTTATTTGGGAAAATGTAGATTCAATTTTTTTTGAGATTTTGTTGTTTATGTAACTAAATTTTTGTGAAACTTCTTGTGAAAAAAACATCAAAAAATCTTAATTTGATTTGTGGGCAGTG